AAGAAATGTCAGTTTTGTGGTTTATTTATTGTATTTAAATGTCCCACTAAGAACACTGGTTCCTAGAAATACTTTGACTTTTGCCTTTACCCGTTTGAGAGGTGGATGAGAAATGCCTGGGAAAACGCTGAATAGAATGAATGCGTGAACATTTCAGAACAAATAAAATTGCAGATGTACGCAAGGCTCTTTGGCAGTTTAGTTCAAAACAAAACAAAAACTATGATTTAGTTTCTTCCCCTGCTCCTTTATTAGAAATATTGAAGGTGTGTCAAATATCTGTGCCTGATGCCTTACCCAGAAGGGAGTTCTGGGTTTTTATCAAATGTGAAGAAATGCACTTGTCATTGCTCCAAGTCTGCCATTTTTTTTTTTTACCTGTCCCTGGGCCCGATGTGGTCAAGATTTAACTTGAATCAGTGCTTATTTTTAGTGTTTTTTACCCGACCTACTATTCTGTACACCCTTATGTGTTCTGCCTTTCAAAGCATGAAATTCACTTTTTTTATAATCCTTTATCATAAGGATAATACCAACTTCTGTACAATTTCAGCACTTGGATTTAATCCAGGTGGCTCAGTGACGAATATTGAATCTCAATGAAGATGAAATGTTTTGGATTGACATTGTATAGCATCCTGTTTACTTTGCCACTCTGCAGTGAGTGGAAGTAGCTAAGTTATCACTCTCTGCAGATCTACCAACCATTTTCCTAGCTAGTTTAACTCTATTCACTGTCATCAAATCAATGAACACTGCTGTGCCCCACTAAATTGGGAATGAACCAAAATAATGCCTGTGTTGGAGACACCGTATTGTCGCTGGACTAATAACCTAGAGACTCAGGTAATGTTCTGAGAAATTCGGTGCAAAACCCACCATGGCAGATGGTGGATTTGAATTTTTACTAGTGCAGGCACAATGGGCTGAACAGCTGCCACCTTCTGAGCTGTAATGATCTTGTGATTCTGAGTAAAGAAAAGGAAGGGTCACCACCCAAAGCGTTAATTCTGATTTTTCTGCACAGATGCTGCCAGGCTTGCTGAGCTTTTCCAGCAACCTCTGTTTCTGATTCTGTGTGGTACATTAGCAAACGCCTTCAGAAAATCCAAATGCATTGCATCCACTGCTTTCCCTCTATCGATCCTGTTTGATATCTCCGCAAAAATAATTCTAATATCTTTGTCTGGCATGACTTCCCCTTTGTGAAGTCATGCTGACTTTATTACACAAGTGATAGCAAAGTTTGAGAAATTTATGAACAGGCAGAGAATAGAGGGATACAGGCCAAATGCAGGCAGATGGGATTAGTTCAGAATAGCATCACAGTCGACATAGACATGGTGGTGGCCTGAAGGACCTGTTCCTGTGCTATACTGTTCTATGTTCAGGAACAAAGTATAGCAAATAAATTTCAAACCCTTTTTTAGTGTTAGAAATAATTGAGAAAATAATTGAAATTGAATGGAATTGATCATTGGAGGAGTACCAAAACATGTAAATTAATACTCCAATGCACTACTGAGGGATTGCTATGTTAGAGGTATTCTCTTTCAAATGAACTCTTAGGTTGAGTTATAGTCTGTGATCTCAGGTGGGTGAAAAGATGTCATGCCATTATTCTAAAGAAGAACAAGGGAATTATATCTGACCAATCTTCATCCCTCAATCAGTTTCAAAAAATCAAATTAACTGGTCATTGATGTAATGCAAATTGTGGAAGCTGCCTGTGGATAAATTGGCTGCTCTGTTTTCCATGTGACTACAGTACGTCCACTTTCTAAATGTTTAGTTGTCTGCTGAGTGCTTTAGGATGTTTTGTGGTCATGAACATTGTTAAGTCTTACTTGGAATAGCAGCCAGAATTTGAAATGGGACAGACCCAGTTGAACTGACTTCCTTGTGCTTTTTTTAAAGGAACGGTCATCCTGAGTGGAGATTAGAAAACCCATGACCTTTTGTTGGGTGTGTAAACAACAGCACTAATCATTTGGGCAGAATGGCTTGTTTCCATTATTGTGACCTCCTATTTGTGTGTAGAATTTAATAGTTTCATTAAAGGCTATCATTGGCGGCATGATAGCATTCACAGCATTTTTAGCATCTTAGTTGTGAAATGTAAAATGCAAAGCAGTAGGAAAGAAATATCCACTTACCTGCATCCCACTAAATTATTCTCACTTAATAGTATCCTGTTGTGTTAATGGCATTCTATTAAATGAAGGTGGATCTTGTTTTGTCCCTGGAGCAACAGTAATTGCCACTTAAATTATTTCAACACTATTATTTTTTAATAGATTTACCAAAGGTTTAAACATTCACCAATGCTGATTCCATGAGCTTTAAGTGTATTTAGTTTTGAAATGTAGTTACTGAAGCAGAAAAGAGATGGTGAACACTAGCTGTTAAATGAACAAATAAAAATGAAGAATATTGTTTATTGTACTTTGTTAATTTGTGTTTTTTTAAACTTTGGCTGTCCCAATTAAATCCAACCTCCGTGTGAGGTTATGCACTTTAGAGGCACAGACTATTTTCTAAACGGGGAAAGGCTTCAGAAATCTGAAGCACAAAGGCACTTGGGAGTCCTCATTCAGGATTCTCTTAATGGTAACATGCAAGTTCAGTTGGCTGTTAGGAAGGCAAATGCCATATTAGCTTTCATTTCAAGAGGGCCAGAATACAAGAGCATAGATGTACTACTGAGGCTGCATAACACTCTGGTTAGACCGCATTTGGAATATTGTGAGCAGTTTTGGGCTCCATACATAGAGAAGGATGTGCTGGCCTTGGAGGGGTTTTCAAGAATTATCCCAGGATGACGGGCTTGTCATATGAGCAGTGCTTGAGAACTCTGGGTCTGTACTCGATAGAATTTAGAAGGATGAGGGGGGAATCTCAGTGAAATTTACAGAAAACTGAAAGGCCTGGATAGAGTGAATGAGATGTTGATGTTCCAACTTGTGGGAGAGACTAGGAGCTGAGGGAATAAACTCTGAGTGAAGGGGCAACCCTTCAGAACTGAGATGAGTAATTTCTTCAGCCAGGAGGTGGTAAATCTGTGGAACGCACTGTTGCAGAAGGCTGTGGAGCCAAGTCATTGACTGTCTTGAAGAAGAGAGAGAGGTTCTTGATCAGTAAGGGAATCAAGGATTACATGGAGAAGGCAGGAGAATGGGGGTTGAGAAACATACCAGCCGTGATAGAATGGTGGAACAGACTCAATGGGCTGAATGGCCTAATTTTGCTCCTATGTCTTGCGGCCTTAAGAGCCCACTACAGGCAGAATCTTACACCATGCTTAATTCAGTTGCAAGTTTTGTTCTGAAATTAATAAAGTTTGGAAGAAAAGACAAGTTATATGCAAACAAGCAGACGATGCAATTTGGTTGGAATTGTATAATGGCCATTAATCTTTGAAATATTGGCTGGCAGTCATTCAAAATCCTGTATCTGTTTTCAGGGATATTTGAGAATATGTCACTGTTTGATTGTTGGCCTCTGAAATTTAATGGAGAATAGTCTAAACCACGACCAGTTCTCACAGCAATAAGCTGCTCAGAAATGCCACTTCAAAGAATAACTTAGCATCAGATCATGATTATTGGTTCCCATTCAAGGAGGTGGATAAAATTATTTGTTTGAGTTTATCAGTGGTACTTGTTAATTTGTTTGTTCATTTTTCGTTCAATAAAGGCATGTGAGAGTTTAAAGGCAAAGTATAAAGTTGAAAATATGCATCCCCTCATGCCCTCTACAGATGCTACCAGACCTCCTGAGTATTTCCAGAATTTGAGTTTTTATTCCACATTTCTAGCATCCACTGGATGTTGCTTTTGTACAAGGTTACAAATCCCTATTGTGCCTCAGACATAGAGAGAAATCCTATAGATGAATAGGATAATTCAATAGCTAGGACCAATAAACAGATGTTCATTACCCGTTGAAGATAATCCTGAAAACTGAGTTGAGTTAGTCTGGAGAACAATCTGGCCTGAAATTGTGGAAGCAAAGGATCTGTGCTAAGAAACATGTAAAAGATCCAAAAAAAATGGCTTTATGAAAATGGAAGGGCTCATTTGGTAGTCAGTGAATTTAAAACAGATGCATTTTCAATCTTATAGGTAAAGGTTACCAATGCCAATTTCTTATGTGTCATTAAAACAATCTCTGTATTTATCATTCTTTTAGAAAGTGGGTGAACCATCTTGCTTAACATACTTTGCTCATGTCCTCTAAGTTGCATAAAAATTAAAACTTCGAACTGCTGTGGGCATTGTGGTGGAGGTGATTGTGTAAAATGCTGATATGAATAATGCAATATGTCATGCAATCATGCTATTGTCACAATGAAAATTTGGGTCTGTAGGCAGTCTAAGTTTAAAGATGGAATGAACTAGGCAACAATTGCAATTTTGTTCTAAGAATATAATTCAAATAACATTCAGTTTTTCACCTTTCTTCAACTATTGTTGAGCAGGAAGAGAGATGAGTTGCATCGTTGTCATCATCATCATTGCCATCACGGCCAATTCTTCAGTTGTACAGTTAACAGCTGGAGGTATGCGAGGATAGCAAGGAGTTGATCGCAATCCAGAAACACTCTTTGCCACAACCCCCTACATCAGTCTTGGTGGGTTTCCCAACCAGGAAATGACCACATTGTACAAGAAATGCACCAATTCACCATGTCCAGTGTGTAACTAAGGGGCTACCCTCGGCCCCTCCCTGTTATCAAAAAACTTTTATAATTGCTTATGACTGCCAATCGACCTCTTTTTCCAGAAAGAGAACATTTGTTTATTCGTTTATGGCATTAGGCATATTTGGCAAGACTAGCCTTTATTTCCCTTGAGAAGTTGATGGTGAGCTATTTTCTTGAATCACTGGGATCCTTGTATAAGTTACTTTCACGGAGCTTTATGTGTTAGTTTTTCACAATGACATGACACAGCTGAGTGGTTTAATGAGCCCATTATTTTTGCTTTATTGTCTTGCAGATCCACTGTCCATGAGCCCACAAAAAGCATTGGAAAGTATTGGTGCGAATTTACAGAAGCAGTATGAAAATTGGCAACCAAGGGTGAGTTTTGTTTATTCAGCATTGAGAATAAATTTAACAAATTGCATTGTAATTATGGGGCATTTACGAAGTAAGCAGCTATGGTCCAAACAGCACGTGAAACTTGTAACTGTTATTTAATAAGTGGAAACTGAGTATTATCTGATCAAGGAAGTCTGTTGCCATTGTCTGCCTTTGAGCTAATGGAGCTTTTCTGTACATCACAGAAGGTCATCATTTCAGATTCAGATTGTATACTCTGAAACTTCTGTTTTACTGTTGGTAGTAACCTGAAATTTCTGGGTCCTTTACATTTCTATCGCTTACTTAAATGCAGTGATTTTGCAGCAATTCTGTATTACTCCACTATTTCTTCAGTACTGTGATACAATTAGGCAAGCACCCATTTCTTAATCAGTCTTACCTTTTGTGTTTGGTATGGTAACTTTTAAACTTAATTTACAATTTGAATTATAACTAATGTTTTTGTTACAGTTGATGAATAAAAAAAACCATAACAGGAGCAGGATGTGGCTTGTCAATTGAGCTTTTTCTGTTTTATACTTGTGGTTGAGTCGTCTTTGAGCTCTGAACCTAGTTGCATGACGTGGTCAGTTTGAGAGGTGTGACTGCTACTGACATGCCAAAGGAACTGATCAACTGATATTTATCTATATTCGTCTTTCTTGAGTATGTTCCTAAATTTAGTTTGAAAGTGAAGCTTTTGAGCACAGCCTGAGAAGCTGAATAATGAGCCGTGGATTGTAAATTTCATCAGTGTGAAGTTCATTGCCTTTTTGTAAAGGTCACTGCTGTGCCACATTTAATGATGAAGTGAATAAATTTGAGATTCAGGGTGATTGAAAGCGCACCATGTAATATGTATAGTTTCGAAAGATAGAAAAAATTATCTGCTTAAAACGGTCAGTATGATCCAGTCTGTTTTTAAAACTCAGTTTTTATTGTCTTCTGTTTATTGGTTAAGAAACCAAATTTTTGTATATCATCAAGTGGAAAAGAAGGCATACGGCATGCTTTCATTCATCGGACGGGGTATTGAGTACAAGAGTTGGCAGGTCATGTTACAGTTGTATCGGACTTTGGTTCGACCGCATTTGGAATACTGCGTACAGTTCTGGTCGCCACGTTACCAAAAGGATGTGGATGCTTTGGAGAGGGTGCAGAGGAGGTTCACCAGGATGTTGCCTGGTATGGAGGGCGCTAGCTTTGAAGAGAGGTTGAGTAGTTTAGGATTATTTACATTAGAAAGACGGAGGTTGAGGGGGGACCTGATTGAGGTCTACAAAATCATGAGAGGTATAGACAGGGTGGATAGCAAGAAGCTTTTTCCCAGAGTTGGGGACTTAATTACCAGGGGACACGATTTCAAGGTGAGAGGGGAAAAGTTTAAGGGAGATATGTGTGGAAAGTTCTTTACGCAGAGGGTGGTGGGTGCCTGGAATGCGTTGCCAGTGGAGGTGGTAGAGGCGGGCACGATCGCGTCATTTAAAATGTATCTAGACAGATACATGAATGGGCAGGGAGCAGAGGGATACAGGTCCTTGGAAAATAGGCGACAGGTTTAGATAGAGGATCTGGATCGGCGCAGGCTTGGAGGGCCGAATGGCCTGTTCCTGTGCTGTAATTTTCTTCTTTGTTCATCCAATGTGGGCTATTTCTTTGCATAAACTTTGCTGACAAAAGTGTTACAAATGATTGTCATTTTTGCATTTTTTGCAAATATTGTTTTCTTGGATCAGTCATAATTTTGCGCTCATCTGTCAAGATGTCAGCCTATTTGGCTTTCCAACAGAGAAGTTTTCTTGCCTTGTGTTCCAAATGGTCCTTTTAAATATTTTCTTTGTAGCTTTAAACTTGATTTTTTTTGTATCTCGTAAATTAGAACAGCACTGATGTCATTCAAAAAATAATCTTTTGTAAATTTCAAAACAAATGTTTTGCTACAAAAGTAAATTACTGCAGATACTGCCTGGCCTGCTGTGTATTTCCAGCATTTTCTGTTATGCATTTCATTAGATTAGTGATTTTCCAGATGATTTAGTTGTCCAGAGTTAAGTTTTTTTTCTCTTTGTTTGTTTGTTTTATTGGTGTTTGCATTCTTAATCTTCCTATTGCCTGAGAGATTTACAAGGAGCTATTTGCCTATTGATGGGAGTTTGGTTCACAGGTATCAGGGCATATTCAATTCAATGAAACTTCTTAAAATTTGATTTCGATCATACTAAAGTGCATATCTCAGTGAGATAACCAACTTTGACTTTGAATAGCAAAACATCTCACTCAATTAAACTTCTTTAGAATTTGAAGTTGAATATACTAATGTGCATATCTCAGTGAAATAAACATATTGGTGCATCAAAATCCCTAATTCCATCAAACGTCATTAAACTGTAGATCATATTAACATGCAGATCTCAGTGAGATTGACAGCTTTGAGCAGAAAAATATCCTCTTGAAAGAAACTTCTTAAACTCTGTAGATCATACAAAGGTGTATATCTCAGTGAGATGAGCACATTGGCACATCAAAATCCTTAGCTAAGCAACTTTGAACAGCAAAACATACAATTCAGTCAAACTGCTTAAAATCTAATGAGGTTCATACAAAAGTACATATCTCAGTGAGATAAGCTCACTGGCACATAAAAATTGGTTCTTAAGTACTGCATGATAGTGGTCAAATCTCTTCCTTCTTTCCTTAGTTTATAATGGGGCTGCAAGGATCCCATGAGGTCTCCATGAGGAGGCACTGCAGCGAACTTGTTGATAGAGGGGGGCTGTGTTTTGACCAAGAGAGATGTGTATTTGACTCTCCTTTTTACATTGCTGCAAACCAGTAATGTAGGCTGAAACTGAGCAGCCATCTAGCACAAAGTAGGAAGTGCACAGGCTTGACGCATCATTCTGCGGTGAAGGTATGTAATATTCAGAGCGAAATACAGATTGGATAGGATTCATTGGTCAGTCATTGGAAAACTGTAAATTATTATGTTTGATTAGAATCTAAACAGTTTGACTTCCATACAATGTTTTAAAAAAAAGTTTATTAACCTATCCTCCAGTTTTAAGTACTGTATCACTGATTCTAAAGTGAGAAGTCTGCTTGGTTTTTCATTTATTTTACATTATTTTTCCCTTGCAATATATTTTTTCAAAAAGGCTAGCACCCTTTCATGAACACGATATGTAAAAACCCCTTAAGTATAGGAGTTGGGATGTCATGTTGAGGTTGTACAGGAAGCTGGTAAGGCCTCTCCTGGAGTACTGTGTGCGATTCTGGTTGCCCTGTTACAGGAAGAATGTTATTAAATTGGAGAGGGTTCAGAAAAGACTTACCAGGAAGTTGTCAAGAATGGAGGGTTTGTGTTATTTAAATGGGCTGGATAGGCTGAGGCTTTTTTCACTGGAGCATGGTGGTTGAGGGGTGATCTTTATAGAGATTTATGAAATCATGAGGGGATAGATAAGGTGAATAGCCAAGGTATTTTCCTTAGGGTGGGAGAGTTCAAAACTAGGGGACATATTTTTAAGGTGAGAGGAGAAAGTTTTAAATAGGACATGAGGGGCAACTTTTTTTTAAACACAGTGGTTCGTGTGTGGAATGAACTGCCAGAAGAAGTGGTGTATACAGGTACAGTTACAACGTTTAAATGACACTTGGCTAAGTACATGAATAGGAAAGCTTTAGAGGAATATGGGCCAAATGCAGGCAAATGGGACTAGTTTAGTTTTGGAGCGTGGTTGATGTGTACTGGTTGAACTGAAGGGTCTGTTTCTGTGCTGTGTGACTCTAAGTGTAGCCACTGTTGTAACGTGGGAAGTGTGGTCGCCAATTTGTGCACAGCCAGCCTCCACAAACAGCATTGTGGTAATGATCCACACTGTGTTACCTCTGAGTCCAGCATCTGCAGTTCTTACTGTCTCTGAGCATTGTGATAATGACTGGATAATTTATATTTATGATGTTGATTTGAAAAATAAATGTTTGCCAGAACACTGGGATAATTCTCTTCTTCTTTGAAATTAGTGCCATACGATTTTTTTATATGTTCACTGGAGAGAGGACAGGCAGGACCTCGCTTTAGCAACTCACCTGAAAGGCTCGCAGCACTGCGCGACACTGGAGCATCAACATTGGTTTTTTAAAAAAATTCTTGTTCCCACAACTGAGTGACTCAGGCAAAAGTGTTCTTGTGAACCATTAATGAAACTCTTCTCCACGTTACCTTTCGTCCTTCAGAAATCAACTTGTCTATGTCCCTGTGTAGCTGTTAAAATATTTCCACATCAGTCTTCTAGCATAAACTATATTCATATTAGATCTGTGGTCCTCTCACTGATCCTGCTGTTGACATCCACTGTTCTCGCTCTGACCATGGTTAACTTCCTTTCCCTGCTCTACATTTCCATTAAATGTTCAGTTTCTTCCTTTTATTAAAAAGCATTCTACAAGGGAACATGTCAAAAGCCTGTTTAAAAACCTGAATGCATAATTTATATACAGTATTGTGTTAATAAAGGAAAAATGGTAGGCGGTTAGTTTTGATTGCCCTAAACCATACCATTACTCTCTCTTTAAACAGCATTACTCATTTGATGCTTTTGGATCATAAGAAAGCATCTCCGTGCTCATCCTTCATTACCGCCAACAAATTCTTCTGTACTGCCAGTTAACCTTTCATCCTCATTTAAAATATATTGGTATCTTACTTTTGTTTCTTGCTCACCTTTGGCCGACCCCTCAGCCATCTTTCCAATCAGTCTTAACTTCCCAGTTTTGTTTCACTTAAGCCATTTGTTCTATCCTTAGAGTCATAGGGTCCTACAGCATGGAGACAGGCCCTTTGGTCCAAACTGGTCCATGCTGACCAAAATGTCCATTCACACTAAACCCGTTTTCCTGCACTTGGCCCAAATCCTTCTAAACCTTTTCCTACCCTTGTATTCATCCAAATGCCTTTTAAATGCTGTTAATGTACCCGCCTCAACCATTTCTGCTCA